TTGGCAATTAAAGCGAGACTGACACTTCATTGCATTGCTGGGACAGGCTGCATTATGAGAAGTCTTTGGATGAGATGTTAACCCAGGGGTCTGACTGCAAGTTCTGGTAGATCTTAAAGATCATTTAGCACTACTTGAAAAGAGAAGGGAGTTTTTCCCAGCATCCTAGCCAACTGCAGTATGAAACATTTGGGACATACTCCTGATGTAAAAGGCGTTATATCAAATGTAACGATTATTATTACCATTGTTTCATGGCTGTTTGGAAGACATTGCTATGCTCAAATTGTCTGCTGCATTTGTCTATGAAATATAATCACTACACTCTACTTATAGATTCTGTGAAGCCTTTTTGAGACAAAAATGACAAAGAACTACAGCATGGAAACAGGCCACTCGGCCCAACCAGTCCGTGACAGTGTTTATACTCTGAATCTCCACAAGCTCCTTACTTCCTCCCATACCCTTCTATTCCCGATCTCTCATCTGAAGGGCTAGCTTCCTCTTAAATGCATCTACCCCATCCGCTTCAGGCAGAGCGTTCCACAACCGCCCTAACCTCCTTGTGAAGTAGTTCCTCCTGCATTCTCTTTTAGATCCCCTAGTCACTATCTTTTGATAATGTGAAAGACACTTTAACACTGTAAATACATGTTTTTATCAGATTTTTCGTCATTATTATAATTAAATTAATCAGTCAAAAAAGTTCAGTCCTATTATTAAAGCAAACGTCATTCATTAAGATCTCTGAGTTATTAGAACCTGCCTAAGCCAACACATCTGGCTTGGATAAGTTTGGATACATGTGTTTGTTAGTTTTATAACTAGGTCACATCTTAATATTCTAACCACTGATATATAGAGCCGGGAAGCATAACAATCATACAGATTTTGCACAGAACACCTCTGTTCAGTTAAACCACATTCTATTCACAACTCTTCTAAGAATAAAACATAAGACCTTGATGATATTTGAGGAGAAATAAAACATTAGACACAAACGTCAAGGTACAAGAAATAGCTGAAATACATGAAATACAAGAAGGAATCCAAACTGCAGATTGTTTTCAGCAAGTGACTCCCTGGAGCATTAAATCCATTGAAGATATAGTGATGGGGGAAAATATAAAATTCTGAAGACCTTATTTCTACATGGTGACCGCCAATTATTCCTGTTCAAGGCAGTATTTTGTGATGCCTTGAAAAATAAATTTGTATATTTCTTTTATATTTTCAGTTCAATTAGAATATACTTCAACTCATCTTGGAGTTTTGTAGATTTTTTTTCGAGCAGTTAGTCAATGGAGAGATCTTTAAAGATATTTATCTTGTCATAATAATAATAATCCTTGCATTTGATATAGAGCTTTTCACATCTTCTAGACGTCTCAAAGCGCTTCACAGAATATACTGTAAAGTGAATTGACCGTATAGTTGTGGGCGAAACGTGACAGCCAATTGTGCACAGCAGTGTTCCACAAACAGTCATGGATTGAAAATGACCAATTTATTATTGTTTTGTTTTGGAGGGATTATTATTGGCTGGTTATGCTGAATTATTTGCTATTTTCAAATACTTCCATGAAAATCACAGATTAGATCCCTTTATTAATATCTTCCACCTTGATAACTTAAAATTTAGTGAGTAAAACTCAAAGGATAACATATGTGAGAAAGGTCATCCTTTGAAAGAGTTAAATTTGGTGTCCAACTGAGATTAAAATTCATACGGTGAACTTCTATGTCAAATGCTAAGGGGTATTTTGAGCCATTTCAGCCTAATTCTGAAATGAAATGGCTTTTTGATGGCAGTATTATGGTAGTATTTTACACATATGTATCCTGAATTTCAATCCTCTGGCACTAGATATGATTGAATTTAACTGAATACTAGAGGACTGACATAGATTAACAATCCTCCTGGTGAAATGCTCCATTGGAGATACACTTTCAAGGTGACTGCACTACTAGAGATAAATTTACAAAAGGTTCACTTTATGTACGTCCAATGGATGGATTGAAACCAATAACTATAAGAAAAATGTCACCGCTGCTCGCAACAAATTATTGCAAGGAGATTTCCAGCACCTGAAATGCTGAGAAGATTAATAATAATAGTCGTTGATATTAGTGCTCATAATGTCAAAATGTCTCAAAGTGCTTCACAGGTAATTATTATTCAGTGAAGTGACTGTATTTGTAAGTGAACACAGCAAACACTTTTACATACAGCAATTTTACATCCCACAGGCATCCACAAAGTGAACAATCAATTTATTTAGCAGATTGTTGTCAAGGACAGCGGGCAAAACCCTCTTCTTTTTTTCAAATAGCATTATGTTATCAGTTGGAGAGGCAGATTTAATAACTCATCTGAAGGACAGCACCTCCAATAGTGTAGCATTCCCCCAGGATAATAAAAGTATGAAATAAGTAAAGTAGGAAATAAAAGTACGACTTAAGGCAAAGTGCTAAGATACATGATTACTTTAGGTCAGTGGTGGCCAACCTTTTGTTGGCCACAAAATACATTTTCTTGATTGAATATTTCTTGATTGATGCCATAAATCAAAAAATATTCAATCAAGAAAAAAATGGAAACAAAACATTGATTTGAAACAGACTCACCTATATGAGTGCAAATGTTCGACCGGCCACTAGTTGATGGCCCTGTGGCTCACAGGCCTTGGGTTGGCCACCAATACTTTAGGCGTACAGTCGGCTCACAGCACTTATATGCACACAAGGGGAATTAAAGTTGTTAGTAGCATTATATTATAGCATAATGTAATAATTATGAAAATAGCAAAGTGAAGCTAACTGCAACAAATCTACTGGGCAGAGTTGATACAAGCACAGCTGAGGAACCTATTGTACTGAAAGCTTACTGCTGAGAAATGTTAATCTTGGTGTGCGATATTATTATAATAATGCTTCATATGATATCGAACCTTAACAAGTCATCAAAATGTCTCAAAGCGCTTCATAGGAATTACTGTAATGTGTAGGCAGGTGAAGCTGCTTATATTAGAATAGACAAAGCAACATTTGGGACATCCACCTGACGTGCAAGGCGTTATACAAATGTAATTTTATTCTTGTTGTTGTTGTTACTCCACTTGTGTTGGCCTTCAATTTATAAATGGTTAGAAAGTTGTGGAATCAAGCTCTACATCAGGACTTTAAGCTCACAGTTTAGGCTGACACGCCAGTATAGTAATGTGGAAGCATTGCAATATCTGAGATGCTGTCCCTTGGATAAGCTGTAAATCAGAGGTTCCTTCTGCCTGTCCTCAGGTACACATTAAAATACAGAATGAAAACAGGGAGGTTGTGAGCTCAGATTTGCAGTGGTAGCAGTTCTAATACCAGATCTAGGAGCCCGTAATACTGAAATTGTGTGCCTGAATAGGAATAACATTACCTGCATTGAAAAATTGAGTTAGGATTCACATAACAAATGGAAAAGAAAGTGCTACAAGATAAATAATAATAATCCTTGCATTTGATATAGCGCTTTTCACATATTTACTGTAAACTGTAATGACTGAGTATTTCATAAGCAAATGCCTTGTAGTAAAGCAAAGCATGCTCCATGTTCTATACTTACTTTTGTACCATACCATGCTTTAAATACATTCAAATGATGTCTGAAAACAAGACTTTCATCCAGATTAATCCTAAATATTTATGATTAGAAACACCTTCTATTTCATTTGCAATCAGTTTCACATCAAACTTTATTGAATTTATCATATTTCCACTTGAGATTAGCATTATCTGCATTCTTGACATTTCCTGAAGAGGGCTATTGAGGAAGCACATCTCAGTAAACGTCAAAACCTGTGATTGCTGTCAAATTGCACGATTCATTTTAGGAGAATCGAATAACAACCATTATTCAAACATTGGGATTTTGGATAACTTGCTACAATTACAAGATTTGCCAATATGAAACATGAAGAATAACGGACCATGTATAAAATCTTGCGAGATTCCAATTTTTATTTCATAATGGTTGAATTGGGAAAGTTTTGTTTAACAGTCAGCAAATAAACATAACAGGACAAGTTCACAAGAGAGATTGAGTCACTTACAATCAAGTCAATTTCAATTTTTCTAAACTATATATAAACTTGGATTTTATTTTTGGAACATTTATTATAATGCTAATTACAAAAGTTATCAATGTGAAGCACAAAGAATAATGGAGCTTGGGTTTCATTTTTGCATTCTGTGGCTTCTGAAGGCATATTGATGTACTTGCTTTTACCAATAAGGGGCAATTCAGATGGGTGGGAGAGGGGGAACTTGGAGAGAGATTTCAAGGACGCAAAAAAAAGGCAGCAGATCACTTTGATAAGGATTTCCAAGCTTCATTGGTAACCGTTTAGGAATACACCTCGCATCTTAGTAATGGTCATCTTTGGAAGGACCTGGCATAATTTCAGACGTAAGACAGTAACACTCATTTAAGAGTTTTTATTTGGAACGTGCTTTTATAAGTTCAACTCTGAGGCTGGTAAATGTTTGAGTAATTATTGAGAAACACAAATAATCAAGATTTTTTAATTCCTGAGGCTTTTCACTTATTTTTGTTTTACTGGTAGTTTATAGTGCTTAGTGATAATCCATCCACAACTGTTTGCTGTGTGCAATTGGCTGCCATGTGTTGTCCACAAAATACACAGTCAATCAATCCACTTTACAGGATATTCTGTGCAGCGCTTTTGAGACGTCTCGACGACGTGACAAGGCAATAAGTAAATGCAATTATTATTATGGACCCATTTTTGAAAGATGTTTGCTGAAAGTGTCGAATCCTCCAGTTCGCGTTGTAGGAACAAAAAGTACATTCAACTCAATAAGGATTTCCAGCAAAAAATAAAATAAATGGAAAGCAACAGGAGAGGAGACTGGTCATGACTTGAAAGTGAAGTGAATACATTCCCCTCTTTCTGTTGCAGTGACAGCTCTGAGGGGAGGAGGCGCAGCTCGTGGAGGACCAGCGGCGTTTGTTCGGTTTACTCTTGCCTCCTGAAGTTGATTCCTTGGCGCGGGGCAACCGTCAGTCTCCTGCGTCGCTCCAGAAGTTTCTGTGGTGGAAAAAAAAGCGGAGAGGATGGCGTCCGGCGGCGAGAGGTGAGTGTGTGAGACACAGAGAGCCGGGGGGGGGGGGGGGGGGGGGGTGATACAGAGAGAGAGGGGGAGTGTGAGAGAGAGAGAGAGGGGGAGTGTGAGAGAGAGAGAGAGGGGGAGTGTGAGAGAGTGAGGGGGTGAGTGTGAGAGAGAGTGTGAGAGAGAGAGGGTGAGTGTGTGAGAGAGAGAGAGGGTGAGTGTGAGAGAGAGAGAGAGAGTGTGAGTGTGAGAGAGTGAGGGGGTGAGTGTGAGCGAGAGAGAGAGAGTGAGTGAGAGAGAGAGAGAGAGTGAGTGAGTGTGAGCGAGAGAGAGAGAGTGAGGGGGTGAGTGTGAGCGAGAGAGAGAGAGTGAGTGAGAGAGAGAGAGAGGGGGAGTGTGAGAGAGTGAGGGGGTGAGTGTGAGCGAGAGAGAGAGAGTGAGTGAGAGAGAGAGAGAGAGGGGGAGTGTGAGAGAGTGAGGGGGTGAGTGTGAGAGAGAGAGAGAGAGAGAGAGGGTGAGTGTGTGAGAGAGAGAGAGGGTGAGTGTGAGAGAGAGAGGGTGAGTGTGAGAGAGTGAGGGGGTGAGTGTGAGCGAGAGAGAGAGAGTGAATGAGTGTGAGAGAGGGCGAGTGAGTGTGAGAGAGAGTGTGTGAGAGAGAGGGTGAGTGAGTGTGTGAGAGAGAGAGAGAGAGTGAGTGTGAGAGAGAGAGTGTGTGAGAGAGAGGGTGAGTGAGTGTGTGAGAGAGAGAGAGAGAGTGAGTGTGAGAGAGAGAGTGTGTGAGAGAGAGGGTGAGAGTGTGTGAGAGAGAGAGAGAGAGAGTGAGTGTGAGAGAGAGAGAGAGTGTGTGAGAGAGGGTGAGACAGACAGTGAGTGTGTGAGAGAGGGTGAGTGTGTGTGAGAGAGGGTGAGTGAGTGTGAGAGAGAGTGTGTGAGAGAGAGGGTGAGTGAGTGTGTGAGAGAGAGAGAGAGAGTGAGTGTGAGAGAGAGAGTGTGTGAGAGAGAGGGTGAGTGAGTGTGTGAGAGAGAGAGAGAGAGTGAGTGTGAGAGAGAGAGTGTGTGAGAGAGAGGGTGAGTGAGTGTGTGAGAGAGAGAGAGAGAGAGTGAGTGTGAGAGAGAGAGGAGTGTGTGAGAGAGGGTGAGACAGACAGTGAGTGTGTGAGAGAGGGTGAGTGTGTGTGAGAGAGGGTGAGTGTGTGTGAGAGAGGGTGAGTGTGTGTGAGAGAGGGTGAGTGTGTGTGAGAGAGGGTGAGTGTGTGTGAGAGAGGGTGAGTGTGTGTGAGAGAGGGTGAGTGAGTGTGAGAGAGAGAGTGAGTGAGTGTGAGAGAGAGAGAGTGTGAGAGAGTGAGGGGGTGAGTGTGAGTGAGTGTGAGAGAGAGAGAGAGTGAGTGAGTGTGAGAGAGAGAGGTGAGTGAGTGTGTGTGAGAGAGGAGAGAGTGAGTGTGAGAGAGAGAGAGAGTGTGTGAGAGAGGGTGAGACAGACAGTGAGTGTGTGAGAGAGGGTGAGTGTGTGTGAGAGAGGGTGAGTGTGGTGAGAGAGGGTGAGTGTGTGTGAGAGAGGGTGAGTGTGTGTGAGAGAGGGTGAGTGTGTGTGAGAGAGGGTGAGTGAGTGTGAGAGAGAGAGTGAGTGAGTGTGAGAGAGAGAGAGTGTGAGAGAGTGAGGGGGTGAGTGTGAGTGAGTGTGAGAGAGAGAGAGAGAGAGAGAGTGAGTGAGTGTGAGAGAGAGAGTGTGTGAGAGAGAGGGTGAGTGAGTGTGTGAGAGAGAGAGAGAGAGAGAGAGTGAGTGTGAGAGAGAGAGAGTGTGTGAGAGAGAGAGAGTGTGTGAGAGAGGGTGAGACAGACAGTGAGTGTGTGAGAGAGGGTGAGTGAGAGAATGTGAGAGAGAGGGTGAGTGTGAGAGAGGGAGTGTGTGAGAGGGTGAGTGTGAGAGAGAGAGTGAAAGAGAGTGAGAGAGAGGGTGAGTGTGTGAGAGAGAGTGTGAGACAGAGTGAGTGTGTGTGAGAGAGGGTTTGAGAGAGGGTGAGTGTGAGAGAGGGTGAGTGTGTGTGTGAGATATATATATAGAGAGAGAAAGAGAGGGCGAGTGAGTGTGAGAGAGGGTGAGTGAGTGTGAGAGAGGGTGAGTGAGTGTGAGAGAGGGTGAGAGTGAGTGAGAGAGAGGGTGAGTGAGTGTGAGAGAGAGGGTGAGTGAGTGTGAGAGAGGGTGAGTGTGTGAGAGAGGGTGAGTGTGTGAGAGAGGGTGAGTGAGTGTGAGAGGGTGAGTGTGTGAGAGAGAGTATGTGTGAGAGGGTGAGTATGTGAGAGAGAGTGTGCGTGAGAAGGTGAGTGTGAGAGAGAGGGTGTGAGAGCGCGGGTGAGTGTGTGAGAGCGCGGGTGAGTGTGTGAGAGCGCGGGTGAGTGTGTGAGAGCGCGGGTGAGTGTGTGAGAGCGCGGGTGAGTGTGTGAGAGCGCGGGTGAGTGTGTGAGAGCGCGGGTGAGTGAGTGTGTGAGAGGGTGAGTGAGTGTGTGAGAGGGTGAGTGAGTGTGTGAGAGGGTGAGTGAGTGTGTGAGAGGGTGAGTGTGTGAGATATATATATAGAGAGAGAGAGACTGAGTGTGAGAGAGAGGGTGAGTGTGAGAGAGAAGGTCAGTGTGTGTGTGTGAGATATATATATAGAGAGAGTGTATGTGTGTGAATGAGAAAGAGGGGAAGTGTTTGAGAGATAGTGAGTGTGATAGAGAGGAAGGGATTAATGTGTGTGATATATAGAGAGCGGGGGAGTGTGTTTGTAATAGAGAGGGGGAGTGTGAGAGAAGGGGAGTGTGTGAGAGTGGGTGAGTGTGTGATAGAGAGAGGAAGGGATGAGAATGTGTGCGAGAAAGGGTGTGAAAGAGTGTGTGTGTGTGTGTGTGGGGTAGAGAGAAAGAAGGGGAGTGTATGTGAGACAGAGTGAGTGTGTGTGTTTGTAAGAGAGAGAGAATGGTGGCAGTCTGAGAGAAAGATGCTGGGGTCAGGCTTGGGCTCATCAGTAATTGACATTTTCCGCTTTTTCTTCTAAGCAGACTCTTCACCATGGATGATGCTGTTGTGGAGGATCCGGAGCACGCAGTAGAGGTGAGTGTGTCTTCAACATTGGCTCTTCTCATCCAGGCCCGGGCTTATCGCTGCAATCTTTCTGGATTCTTTCAGAATTAAAATATTCCAATTTATATTTAGCACTGGCAAATGTTAATTTTAAAACTCAGTGTACAGTAATGTATTAGATCTGATGTTGCATAAATGCATTAATGATAAGGCGTGATGTTAGTTTGAATTGACTATAGCGTGTATGGTTGTATTTTGGCATGGGAAATTTAAGAACAAAAACAATAGTTTTTTTTCCTTCTTGCTGAGGTTGCAAAAGGGACATAATTTTTTATTGCAAGACTGGATGTAATTCTAGTTGCACAAAATCTAATTTCTCTTCAGTTAACTTGCACTGAACTGGAACAATTGTATGCTTTTAATCTTTTGTTGCATTGAAGTAGTCATTTACGTTTGGTCAGCTAGGTATCTTGACACATTTGGAAACCCATCATCATGATTAAGAGTATCCAAACAAAACCGAGAGTTCCATGCATCCCATCTCGCATGGAAATTCCAGAGATACATTATTGGGATGGAATGTGCACTCTTTCCCTGGAGGGATGCATCCTGATTACCTAATTCCGTAAAGTATTCGGGGCAGGACAGCAGGAGCCAAGGCTTGGGGACACCAGAGTATGTGTTGGGGTACATCTGACAAGCACGGGTTTGAGCCCTCGCGAGGTGGAAATAATAATTGGCAGTAGGAAAAATTAGCAGAGTAGAATGTAGCTGATGAGTACCAGTAGAGCAGTTTTGTAGTAGGGTAGATTCGGAAAATATAGCATTTATTTACATTGTAGGCTAGAGACACCTCTTTTGAACATGCCAAAGGGATTTTTATAAACACTCTCCACCGTACTTACTATTGTAACTGTGTGTCCTCAGTATTACAAGCACTGTTACTGATATGGCGATGTATCCATTAAATTGTGAATACTGGTGTCCCAATAAACGGGAGACAAAACTTAGAATATATTATAGACTATTTTCAACAAGTAGATAACTAATTTTCTGAAATTTATACATATTAAGTTAGAAAAATACTGTATTCAGTCTAAATTTGGATATTGAATTCCTGGAATTTTTTATTTCAGTGGTGTTGCTAAGCTGCATTGTTTATACACGGTTTTGTTGTGCTTTCTGCGTGGAGTGTGGAGTCCTGTAGCTCAGTGGCTAGAGCTCTCGCCTAGCAAGTGAGTGACCTGGGTTCGATTCTCGGCAGCTTTAAATGTTGGGCAAGTTTCCTTATTCCACACGCCTCTGTTTACCTAGTAGTAATTAGGAACCCGATTGTTAGTTAATTGGCGGATCGAATTTTCAGGGGTAATAATTCCTTCAAAAAAAATTGATCACTTCAATCCATGACTGTTTGTGGAACACTGCTGTGCGCAATTGGTTGCCGCGTTTCACCCACAGACTATACAGTCAATTCACTTTACAGTATATTCTGTGAAGCACTTTGAGGCGTCCCATGATAAGGTGCTGTATCAAATGTATGGATTATTATTATTATTTCAGGAGCTGACTGCAGCACTAGAACAGAATTTGGACAAAGCAGAGCTTTACTGCCAAAGGGCTTGTGCGCATACACTGCTTCAGAATTTCAAGGGTAAGTTTAATTGAAGTATAGCACAGAAGATGATTGTCCTTGTTATGGTTTATCCATGGTTGTTGGAATAATATTGCTCAATATAAAAATTTAGATTTTTTTTGGCAACTTGCTCCATGATTAACTTCTGTGACAGTATTTGCTTGAACTTCATTACTGCTGCAGTGTCAATTGTGAACTAGCTGCATGCTGCTATATGTTTTTAATCAAATTCTCAATCACTGAATGAAACAATGCACAATTTAACACAAGTTGAGTGGTAATAATTTCTGTAAGACTAAATGTTATAGGTTTATCTTGTCCTTTTTATAAACTGGTAGTTTGTGTGTTAGGTTGGCTCAGTTGGTAGTACTCTCACCTCTGAGTCAGTAGGTTATGGCTTCAGCCCCACATTGGGACTTTGATCTTATAATCTTTGCTAACAATTCATTGCTGGGAGAGCGCTGCATTGTCTTTTGGATGAGGTGTTAAAATTAGGTACTTCTATCTCAAACAGATGTTAGAGATCTCTTGGCACTATTTAAAAAATGATGTTTTTTCCCTAGTGTCCTCGTCACCAATACTTGTAAATAAAAAAGGTCATTTGCTTCAATGCTGCTTGTGGGACAATGCCATGTGCAAATTACTCCTCCATACAGTAACTACACTTTATAGAAGGGCTCTACGCTTTAACATAAGGCACTATATATATATATATATAATTCCTTGCATTTAAAAATTATATGTCTTTTGCATTGAGTAAACACATTATTTTAGTTAACCAGATGTAATAACTTGCATTTATATAGGGTTCTTCACATTGAGTAGCATTTCTAAGCTCTTAACAGAGGGGATTATCAGCCTTTTGCTGTCTAGTAAAGAAATCTTGATATATAATTGAAGCATTGTTTCTGTATTTTGTATGTGTAACGATGCAATGTTTTGTGAAACTGGAGGATGATACTGTTCTCCTGGTTCTTTAAAGTTTAACAATTTTAGGAGGTGCAAAATAATGATTCAAATCAGCTATGTTTAATAAAGTCACTTAATTTCAAAGAAGTTTGAACAACAACCACATCTTCCTTCTGGCTCAAACTTCTTCAACTTGTCCAGTTTCCCTCTTCGACTCACCAAAGTAGTGCACAACATTGGCGTTGGGTTTGACGGCTTTTTCTTCTTTCACTTCTGGTCCTTGACTAAGATAACCTATCTTTGTGACATTGGCAGTTTCTATTTCTATCCAATGCTGTCAAAACTCTGATTCACACATTTGTCACGTACTGATTTGACTTTTCAAATGCCTTGCTCTCCCGAACTCCAATATCCACAAGATCCAGCTCATCCAAAACTCCACTGACTGGTGGATGTTACTTTACATGAAAAGCACTATATAAATGCAAATTGTTGGTTATTCAGTTTGGTTTGTTGTATGTTTATGCTACAACTGGTGTTAGATGTTTGGAGTGAAGTGTGAAATGAATCTTGGTGATATTGGAATATCTTTAGAATATATTAATTTAATATGCTTCACAGTTCTGTAAAGGACCTCATAAATACATATTTAGAAGATGGTAAGCTACCCAAAAAAATCTGAATGCATGGAAGACATCTGAAGAAAAAAACTACGTTCCCTTTGACATACAGTTTCTTGTTGTACCCGCATCTAATTTGAATATTAGTTCAATTGTCTTTCTAAGCAGCTGCACCTGAGGTTATGTGAAATAATGAGAAATGGATCTATTATTGCTTTCTTTAACAGATGCTCTTGAAGATGCCAACAAAGCCCTTGAACTGAAACCAAACTGTGCTGAAGCATATCTTAGAAAAGGGTGAGTTTGTTTTTTTAAAAAAACGTTTTCTAATGACAATCTTGGTCAGTTGAAATTAATCACTAGCAAAAAATTTACAGTGATTTGAATAAAGATCTTATTAAAAAAAGACTTAAAAAGTTCATCTTTTTTGTATTTGATATTATTTGTTCCAAATGCAGCTCAGATTAAACCTTTGGTAAAATGGTAAGCATTCCATAAATAGTTGAAAACTGTATGGATGAGAATAATTTTCTCATGTACAACTGTGTGAATCTGAAAGGGGTAAAACACTCCAAAGTGTATAAATCTTTGTTTTTCAATAGCAGTTTCCTTTAAATTAATTTAAGGACAGCATATGAATGTAACTGAACCACTTTCAAGTAGGGCTCTTGAGATGCAATTATCTGCAAGTTCCTGATGTCATTTGCGTACCAATGATGTGGAGTCCTGTAGCTCAGTGGTTAGAGCACTCGCCTTGCAAGCGAGAGACCTGGGTTTGATTCCCGGCAGGGGGAAACCTTGGGCAAGTTTTCTTACTCCACACACCTAATAATAATCCCTCAAGAAAAAACAAAACAAAAACAATAAAATTGGTCACTTCAATCCACGACTGTTTATGGGTCACTGCTGTACGCAATTGGCTGCTGCGTTTCGTCCACAAATATACAGTAAATTCACTTTACAATATATTCTGTGAAGCGTCTAGAAGACGTGTAAAGCATTATATCAAATGCAAGGATTCTTACTATTATACAAAGAATGGCAACGATTTTGGAATGTTGAGTGGAGTAGCATTAATATTGCATTGGACCATCTCAATAAAAACGTATAACAGAACAAAACCTATCAAATAAATTTCTGCTTGGATTGATCCACAACCACCATGTTTTAACAGGATAGTGTGCCTTGCACTTGGTGCAGCATCTGTAATGTGCTACACTTCATGGCCACCAAGGGCTTCTTCTCTAGCCCCCGCATTTTCATGTGTGGTGTCTCCCAGGGCTCTGTCCTCGGTTCCCTCCTCTTCAATCTATACATGCTCCTGCTCGGTGATGTCATTCGCAGGCATGGGGTCAATTTCCACATGTATGCGGATGACACCCAACTCTTATCTCACTGCCTTCACCCTCTACTCCAGGTCCGTTGATGCCCTGGCTAATTTTCTTTCTGACCAAGTCCTGGACGAGATCCAACTTCCTCCAGTTCTATGTTGGCAAGACAGAGGCCCTCCTGCTTGGCTCCTAGCAGCACCTCCTCACCTCAGCTGCTGACACTATGACTATTCACGGCTACACTCTTCACTTCACCGAGCCAATCCGAAACCCCGGTGTCCTTTTCGATCTTGAGCTATCCTTCAAACCCCACATTCGTGCCGTGACCCTTTCCACACTTCTACAACAATGCCGGCCTCTACCACTGCTTGTCCACCGAGACCCTGATCCACGCTTTCATTACATTCTGGCTTAACTATGTCAACTGCCTGTTCGCTGGACTTCCCAACTCTTCCCTCCACAAGCTGCAGATTATTCAGAACTCTGCAGCTCGCGTCCTCTCCCGCACCAGGCCCCGGGAACCTATCACCCCCATTCTTGCCCGGCTTCACTGGCTCCCTATTCTTCAGGGAATCGAGTACAAAGCGCTTGTTCTTACCTTCAAGGCCCTCCACGATCTTGCTCCCCCCTACCTCTGTGACTTCATAACCCCATGTAAGCCTGTCCGCTCCCTCTGCTCGGCGAACACTGGCCTGCTTCAGGACCCCCACACTTCCCAGCGCACCATTGGCGGTTAGGCATTCAGCATCTCTATCCCCACACACTGGAACTCTATCCCGCAATTCGTCCGCCTCACGTCCTCTCTTGCCTCCTTCAAGTCCCATCTGAAGACCTTCCTGTTTCACCTTGCCTTCGGTCACCCTGGTATGGTTAATAATACGAGCTTAACACCTTTTTTAAAAAACGTTTAGTGTAACTGTTCATTAAGTTGTTATTATTTCAATGATCAATTTTTAAAATGGTGTTCTTTACATCTTATTTCCTGCTCATATTAGAGTTGTGGAGTATCACTTGGAAATGTATCGGTCAGCGATGGAATCATTTAAAAGAGGACAAGAGTTAGATGGTAGGTATTTTGAAATTTTATTTACATTTTCACACCTTATGGCTGTGTTTTGATTTAGTGATTCTTTACAATTTTTTTAAAAAATTATCATTTAAAACATGACAATGTTATTATTTCTTTTGTGCCAAACATGGGGTAACCTCATTATAAGATGATCATCTGAATCCAATATCTCAGTATCTGCATTATACTGAAGCGTGGCAAAATGACCAGCTTCTGGGCTGTCCGAGTACCGTTGATGTTGTATGTTGTGTGCTATGGGTAGGAAGTGCTGCTATGTCACTTCTTGCATTTTGCACATACCGTGCTCTGTGTCGGAAGTCACATCAGCAACAATCCAGAAATCGGCCATTTTTTAACTTGGGAAGTCAGGTAGTGGGCAGCAGACGTCAGGTGTACTGTGCTTTTGACAGTGTGTGGGTGCAAGCTTTTGCTTAATTTGTGTGGTAGACTTGTAATGTGGCATGACTCTTGAAACTGATGAAATTATTTCATGTCCCTGGTAAACCCAATATTCATTTCAGCAAGAGGCAAGAGAGGGGGCAAAGCGGAGGGACTCTGGGATGCAGAAGAGTTGAAGGTCCGACCTCCGATGGTAGAATGGGCAATGAGGGGGGCATGGAACAGGCCGGTGCCTGTCGATCAGAGAGAGCAGCATAAAGAAACATGGAGAAAGGCAGGGAAATAGGATTACATAGAGCTGCTACAAACTTAATATAATTCAACATATTTGATGTGCTTAATAGCTTACTGTTCTTATAATTCTCATGTAATTTAAACTGTTCAATTGTCAAAATTCATACTTTGCATTCTTATGTAATAACAATGAACATTTCGAGAACAGCGAATTTGATTTTAGTCAACATTTGAGTCATCTCCCTAATTAATTGAATTCCTTAGAAATGAGCAGGACCAATAGAAAATTGCTGAACATTTTACCAAAAATTGTGGGGAAATTTGACAAATTTTGTATGAAATTGCAGGGAGTTGATTGGTGCTATTGAGAAGTATATCTTACTGCAAACCTACATTTTTTCATTTGATTGATAAAGACTAAACATGACAAAATATCACACATCATATTGTTGGAAAATGAAATGATTAATGCTTCCTTTAACAAAAACAGGGTGGCCCACTTGGGTGGGGGCAACTCTGGCCCTGGCCCGAAGGAGGGAATGGTCCGTTTCCACCCCACACTACATTTCAAAAACATTGTCCTGGCTGCGGGGCTCCAGGAGGTCACCACTGCTTGCCTCTTGGGGCCCGCCATTGCACACACAGAGACAAACACACTCACAGACCCAGAGATACACACACAAACTCAGAGACAAAGAGAGATGCACTCACAGAGACACACTCTCACTCACAGACACACACTCAAAGACACAGGGAGACAGACACGCACAGGTACAGAGAGAAGAATATCTTGTTGTCTACCCATTTATGTTATTTGATTTAATAGCTTTCCTAGCAACTTTGTTCAATGTTTTATATGAAATTATTCTCCTTGATTGCCCCATTTGCTCCTGAACTTATGTTGTTTTCTCATTTTCTTGGGAGTAATCTGGATCAATATTATCAAGATTTCTTTGTTGTAAGATTTTAAAGAAATTGGGTCTCATTAATTTTATCACCAAACTTGGTCCAATCAAAGATTAAAGGATGCAGTACTAGATGCAGTGTGGAAAATCACATGGGTACCAGCTGAAAATGGGAGAGACATCCTTTCATTTTTTAACCTTGTTTGCATAGTAATTCATCAATGGCATGTGTAGTGTAATCTTCATTTGAACAACCACTCCTGCACTGATGAACTAAGTGTGTCTCCGTTTGTATTAAAAGTTGGTTTAGAAATGCAATTACAGTCAAGTGTCTTGATAGTCATCACATATTTCATTTTCTTAACCATTGGCAAAAAAANTTGCAATTTGTGTATACAGGCCTATACATTTTAAGTTTCAGTTCTTGGTTGGATAACATCTGCTTTTGTATGCAGTACTGGCCATTCCTACATTTTGCTATGCTGTCTCTATAGACTGCTCATGTTACAACACTATTGAGTTTAATACAGTTGATTGTCAGGGTTGAGACTGCTGCCTTAAGTCCTGCAGAATCCTAAGATCTAGGATCTGGATTAAGTCTGTCAAAATTATTTGCACAAGAGATCCTTGAGGCTTGTCTTGAGAAAAAACCTTAATTTCTCTTGTAGCATTTCAATCCAAAATCCCATAAATCAGAAAGTACTGATGTCGAAGAGATGTGAAATGTTTAGTTATATAGTGATTATTTACTCTTTTGCTCTGGCAGACTGTACGATCACCTGCAGGATTAAAATAATGTTTAATTTTTCAGATGATAACGATGCCTTTGAAACTTGGATCACAAAATGCAATGGAAACCTCAGTCGTAAGTTTGTTCAGTTGTAACCTGCTATGAACCAAACCACTGTTATTAAAAGAGAAATAGTTGAGCAGATATTTGTGCAAAGTACACCCACTAGATTCAGAGAAAAATACTGTTAAAAACAACACTTTCTTTGTGGAGAGGAATATTTGCTGTGCCTGGAATCTGCCATCTCTTGATCTTGTATCCATACAATACAATTCACAATAATATCATTTCCATTTATATAATACCTTTCATGTTGGAAGGAAATCTTAAATGCTTTGCAGTGCTAGAATATGCACCTGAACTGGAAATGGAAATAAAGAAGGGTTGGGTGGGAAAAGATGACTGAAAGCACAGTCATAAAAGTACCTTTTCAGTTGTGCCTTGAAAGAGGAGGGGAAGGGAGCAAATTGGGCGGATTGGGGTGGAGTTCCAGAAAGCGGGGACAGAGTGGCTTAAAACAAATGATAAGGTGGGGGGTTCTATGCTCAAATTACCTTAAACTCTAAATTCACAGATGGGAAATTTTCAACAGTTAACATTTTTTTAAACTCCAGGTGGAATGACAATTGTTTTTGTTTTTTAATGAGTGATTACCTAATGTCACGGTCTGTTTTTTCTTCCTTCACTTCCTGTTTCATCAATGGTGTTTGATTCATTGAACACATATTTTACAGCTGGAAAATAAGTAACTGGAGATCCTACACTAACAACATAATTCTAACTATATTCACAATTAGTTCTCTGGAACATTAATTATAAATCACCCTGTATAGTTCTGATTAAATCATGAATACTGACACTTGGAAGAAAGATGGACTTTGTGGTATTTGTTGTTGGAAGATGGAGTAACTGATATTTTAAGACATGGAGACCTGTAGCTTAGTGGTTAGAGCACTCACCTCACAAGCAAGAGGACCAGGGTTTGATTCCCGGCAGAATGATTTTTATGCAGTTAGTCAAGTTTCCTTAGTCCATACACCTTTGTTTTACCTAGCATAACTAGGAACCCGGTTGTCAGTTGATTGGTGGATCGTTTTTCTGGGGATAAAATTCCCTCAAAAAAATAGTAATTTGCTCACTGAATCTACGACTGTTTGTGGGACACTGCCTTGCGCAATTGGCTGCTGTGTTTCACTCACAAAATATGCAGTCATCTGCATATCTGAAAATATTCTGTAAAGTGCTTTGAGAAGTCTCGAAGAAGTGATAAGGCGCTATATGAAAAACTGCAAGGATTAAGACGGTCAGAAAAGGATAATTCAAAACTGTTTCAAGCTACAGGTGCAAAATATTGACATTATGGAGACCTGTTGATTTATTTAATGGCTAATGATCCTTGCTTTTCTTTCAGCAACGGGACAGGAATGTGTAACAGCTGAAGAGGTAAATGTTTTACACAAAAGTTCAATAGCATACTGTTTCACAAAATTGCCTGTTTTAAGATATATAAAATTAGGCTTTGAGAGATTAGCTCATGAATCTGAAATTTAATGACCATTAGGGATGACTATCTGTAGTTCCAGTAGAGTCTCATTATACCATGGTATTTTTGGTCCATAAAATTTAGAGTTTAATGGGATATTATTGCCAGTCAGCACTTGTACATTCACTGTGCGTGTGCAGCGGCAACGTGGTAAACTCCAAAGTAGAACCAGTGGACATCTTATTTTGCAGACCGATTTTGCAAATGTGGTGTCTAATTTTATTGGATCCAAAGCACCATTATAACGGGTCGCCCTGAACAACCAAGTCTTTGCTTAATATTCATTTAAAATATTTTTACTAATTTTACTAATGTAAAATAACATCAATTTAAGGAAGGACGTTTAAAAATTGACGCTGTTAATACTGTTTTTAGAATGTTTTGTATTTAATTTTCTTTCCCTTCTTTCTAATGCAACTTGACTATCTTGCAACCAGATATGTGCACACAACGTGGAAGTACCAAAATTAAAGTAAGTCTAAAATAGCCGCAAAGCACAACAGTTACTGTGGAGTCGATGAAAAATCAATGTTTTTGTGTTTCATTGGGGTTGGGGGTTCACAAGTAAGTCTGATCTTGTCATCAACAGCAATTTATATTTATTTAGCACCTTTCACATAAAAGAACAACTCTATGAGATTAATGAGAATTTAAGCAAATGTTGTCTAGGCTAAAGCAGCAGCTAATTTGCATCAGCAACCATCCACAAACGAGAATGAAATGAGTAATCATTTTTTTTTGGATGAAGAGAAGAATATTGGCCCAATTATATTTGCATTAACATTTAAATTTAGAGCCATTTTATAGGAAATTTCATAGTTACTAATATTTTTAAATAAATCATTAGATAACAATCAGAGGAGAAATTGTGCTGTTTTTCTTTTTATGTCCTTCAATCCATTTACACTTTGCACTGCTTTCAAGATATTTAATTCAATTTTAATGTTGGGTAAGATTTCATTATTTTGAATCGTGAATGCTCCCTAATGTTTAGGAATTGGGGAAAAATGAACCATTTTCTTGTGGGATTAAATATAGGGGTAAGATCCATAAAGAAGTGTAATTCTCAATATCTGATATAAAAAAAATACTTTATGTATACTTTTCCTGATGCTGGTGGTGGAAGAATTTAGATTTTCATAGAAATTTATTATACATTGATTAGAATACTTGGAATGAAAATCCATGGAAAAGTGTGACATCTCTTCACTCTTTATTGACCTGGAACAATTTCATATTGCACAGTGATTGGGCATGAGAAGCCTGAATTAAAGAGAAAAAAAGTTATTTTTATATTGCCTGAACACATCACAATATCTGAAAGCATTTCACAATAATTCCTGTCAAATGTAGTGACTGGTTTATGTAGACAAAGTAGGCAGCCTTTGTACTCAGCAAGATTTCACAAACAAGCATGAGGAGAATGACCAATTTATCTGGAGAATTGTTGGCAAGGAAACTATTAATTCAAATTGTTGATTACTATGTAGGTATAATTATTCAACAACATAAATATTAGGGTGGCCAAATGGATACTCAAACATTGCAGTTATTTTAACTTGATGGAGCACATAGCACATATTAGTGACTGTTTCCTAAAAAATATGACCCAGATTGTGTCATGCGGTTTTGTGTTCATTAACTATGAAATGTAATTAGCGATTAAGTAAAAACAACGGGAGGGATTAATTTTGCGTTTATTGTGAAATTTATGGTGCGTAAAACATTGCGGTAAATTTTGTAAAGTTGCAAATACTGAATTGCACAGTTAGTAGATAAATAAAACATTTTGAAGAAAATTGTATTCCCAAATGTTTTCGGTTAAGCTGTGTGCTGGAGAAATTAATATAATTAAGCTCTCAATTCTGAACTGGTGGTTTACTGTGCCTTGCCTCATGATGGAGCTGTTTCTCTTTGTACTATATTTGCTGTATTCTGCGGTAGCCAAAGATGTGAGTGCTATTTTCTCTACCAGTATTAGATATGAACCCGGTACTTTGAATTTTGTTCTTAAAATGGAAAACAAACCTATATTGTGGAATGGGATAAAATAATTTGGACTACCAATGGTAAACTTCAGATCAACAGTTAGGTACTGCATCGTGGGTGCAGACATAATTTAAAAATTGATATTTGATGTGCTGCTTTGTCTTTTTTTTCCATAGTTGAATCAAGGGGAATAGTATTGTATTTTAAATATGCACTTTCACTGCATTCATTTTAAGTCTGGATTTTGCACATAATTGAAATGTTTTACTTTTTACGTTGTCTGATATTTTAGGTGTTGCTCTTGAAACGGTAGAATATTTACCCTCAAAATAATCTTTGGATCAGTTTATGTCAGCTATTACAAATTGTATTTTCTTTGGAAAATGAGCACAGAAGTAACTATTGGGAGTTGAACTTAATATGATTGGAAAAGGAGTGGTTGTCAATAATTTGTTCATTTTATTCAGGAAATTTTCTAGTGTAATCAAAATGTAACTAGATTGTAGTTTGTGAATGAAAGTTTTTTACAATAAAGACCAATCAATATTATAATATTTTTAGGCAAATTATTCTTAGTTCTTTAGTCCAGTGGCTATCATCATTGAAGACACACTGTAAAGCTGATCTCTGGAATTATTGGATATTGCCGAAATGTTCTCCTTTCTAATTTTCCATATTCACTGCAGGGAGATGCTATAGTCTCTGCTCAGCTTGGTTCTGATTGCCAACTGAACTGATCGGAGATTTAACATCTAACTTGACAGACTGCAGGTAAATAATACTTTTGCCTTGCCCAGAAGAGCTCTTGACAGTGGGTGCAAGTTGCAACACTTTGTTGTTAATTTTTGCCACAAATATACAAACTGTATCCAATTTTTTCTATTTTATTGCTTTCCTTAAGTTGACTAATTGTCCCTGATCAAATGGAGACAAGTTTCAGAATTACTATGTGGAAGAAACCCAAGAAGCACTTTGGCCATACCACAGTAAACCTCTCATACAAAAGAAAATTACATTTGTAAAGCGCCTTTCACATCAGTGAGGATGGAGGGCAGAGAAGGTAGGAGGGTGGAGGGCAGAGAGGGTGGAGTGAGTAGGAGGGTGATCGAATGCACAGTCGAAGAGGAGGGCCTTGTAGGAGGCAAGGGAGGGAGCGAGGCGGGTATGTGGGGTGGAGGGCCGTGGAGGGCCTTGACGGTGAGTGCAAGAATTTTTAACTCAATCCTCTGAGGGATGGGGAGCCAGTGGAGCCGGGCGAGGGTGGGTGTGATGGGTGTGGGAGGGTATGAGCTGCAGAGTTCTGTGTGATCTGCAGCTTGCGGAGGGAAGAGTTGGGGAGGCTGATAAGCAGGGTGTTGGCATAGTTGAGCCTGGTTGTAATGAAGGCATGTTGAGGGTTTCAGCGGCCTGAGGGGTGAGGGAGTGGCAGAATTGGGCAATGTTGCGGAGTTGGGGGAAGGCAGAGTGCGTCGTAGCACGGATGTGGGGGAGAAAGGACAGTTGAGGGTCAAACAAGATGCCTAAGTTCCTGACTGGCTTGGTGAGGTGGAATGTGCATCCGTGGATGGTGATGCTGTCAGTGCCTGAGGTGCGGAGGCGCTGGCGCGTGCCAATCAGAAGAGCCTCGGTCTTGCTGACTTTCAACTGTAGAAAGTTGGCTCTTGTCCAGGGGTTGATGTCTGTCAGGACATCAGTGGTCCTGGAGTCGAGGGTGGAGGCAGAGACATAAGTTGTATCGGTCAGGACCATAACATTCTATAAAGTGTTTTTGGCTGTGTATTTTGTGGGCAAAACAAGGCAACCAATGGCATGCAGCAATGTCCCACAAGCAGCCAAGAAGTGAATGATCGATTGTATTTGGGGGATTGTTGTCCCTTCGAATAGTGCCATGAGACCTTTTACGTCAACCTGAACAGGCAGATAGGACCTTGGTTTAATGTCTCATCCGAAGTATGGCACTAACAATATAACACCTCCCCAGCCCTGCATTGGAGTGTCAGCTTAGATTTGGGCTTAAATTCACAATGTTGTAACTCAACGATAAGAGTGCTACACTGAGCCAGGGAACAAAACATTGCCTCCTCTGCTGTTGATAAGCTGCTGGATTGAGTTCCTCTTGTTTAAAATGAGACATCTAGCTTGATTATTTCATAGCCATGATGACAGAATAACAGACATTCAAGCAAAAGTTGCAATTCTGTGCAATGTTGAAAAGAGACTTTCAGATGATATAGAATAAAAAACATGCGTGCTTTATCCCTTGCTATTTTTAATAGCCTCAATGGTAGCACTCTGACTGTTCTCAAGTTTTCATTTGACTGCTGATGGTACATGGCATCCGGGAGTTGGAGAATACAAATTTGAGTCAGGAGTCTTCAGAGTTGCATCAGGATCAAGAGGAAGCAAGACTCAGTTAAATTGGAAAAGCTGGACAACTCTAACCAGTATTATTGAGGAGGATGAAGCAAAGGATTTACCAGCAGTAGACTGGCAGATTGGAACATTTTCAAATTCTTTGTCTTATGGGCTACAGGGGAACAAATGTTAATAAGGGAGAAATACAATAAGGGTGGGAAAAAACAAGAATATTAAAACAATGAAAATACATTTTAAATATTTTGTAAATTGTATACTTGATCAATTTAATTAATAAGGTTTAAAAGTGATAATTCACAGTAATTAGATCAAAATCTACAATGAAAATTATGGTTAATGTTACATGTAAGGTTTAAATGTCAGCATTTGCACTTAGAATCCTTCATCAGACTGGGACACAGATTTGGGATAGAATTGGGGAGCAAGAAAATCGCATGCATGATTTTTACTCATGAGTGAGACTTCAATTTTTACCTTCAGAGAAACTCAGAAAGCCACCTTTCATACAAACTTGAGTTTTGATACTAAATATGGTACCAATGGTATTAACTCAAGACACAACAAATAATCAAAACATTCTGAGGGATTTTGTCAAGGTAAATAATAATAATAATAAAAATAGGGAGAAATTATTCTCATTGTTAGGTGAGTGAGTTTAACCTCTCCCCTGGCTTGGTGTCAGACTCTGCCACTTTCAAGCGCTCCAGGACAGTCCCCCGCATGAAGGGCATTGCGTAAACGCAAGTTGTAAGTGATTTGGAGGCATAATTACTACTGTCCACCCCTCTTGATTCCAACCCTCGGCTTGGTTGCAAACCCTTGCTGTCCAGCAAAAGGTGCTATATAATTGTAAATTGTTGTTGGAAGAGAAACTTGAAATATAATTTAATTGGTTCTTGTTTTTCAGCAGTTAAGTGTACTTGATTTATTTTAACATATGTTTAAATATTTTTATTTTAGATATGATTGGTATCAGACAGAGTCTCATATTATCATCACAATAATGATCAAGAATGCAAAGAAGGATGATGTGAACGTGGAGTTTACTGAAGGAAATGTAAGTCTCAGTTGTCCTTCAATTATTAGAACTTCCTGTGTTCACAAACCGTGTGTCTTCAGCTTAAACGTCTAAAGCTAACCCTGAAGTATTTTGCTGCAAATATTTTGGAACTAATATTTAAATAATTTTAACTAATCTTTTTTGTTCGACTTTATTGTTTAGTGAATTAAGTCAACTTTGTTCGAAGAAAGTTGATATCATTCTGAAGTCATGCACAGGCGATTGTCATTGTGGTTCCTATTGATCAAAAAATACTTGCAGTAGAAATGGTATATATAATTTGTGTTCTGATTTTATAAACATTTATAACTGGAGATTTGGAACTGGAATAGTTCATAATCACTCCAGGTTGCAAATAGTGACACTTCAGCAACTGGAAGTAAGTCATTGCCAATCTGCAGGGATTCTACTGAAAACGTAGATGACCTGATGAACCTTCGGGTAACAGAAGGCATAATTGTTTACAACTCAGCATTAAACAATGCATCCTGAAGCTCATGGATTGCTGGCGGTCCAATGGTTTTGCAATTTAGAGTTGGAAATGTTAACCTTCCCCCTTGGGAATCCTGCACACATTGCTAGAAAAGACATGCCTCAATATCTTCCAAGGAAAAATCACATGAATGGACTGTCTTGTATCTTCGGAATTTGAAAACATGGTTCATGTTTGCTGGCATTAATTAGTTCCACCAGTTCTCTATAAAATGATGTTCACATTGTAATGTTGTGGTTTTGCTCATCTTGTTGTCCTGGCTTTTAAAAGCTAAATTATGTTCCACAGATTGTCAACTTTTATCAACACAGTAATCCTCACCATTCAGTTGTGTGCAAGTAGACAATTGTGCAGATTATGTGTAAACACAGTTCTTGGCTAGTGGCATCATTGTTAAATCTGATTAAATATTTGATGTGATCAGTGATGATTGCTGTCTTAGAAATAGACACATTCTTGTTTTATGTTACTTCTTAAAATATAAGTAAATTGTTATTTATCTTGCGTATGACCATTAAATAAGTTTGGATTTTCTGCCATGGAAAGATGGAATACAGTTTCAAATATTTCAAAAAGGCTACCGATTTTTTTTATGTCTTCTGATCTGAGGTTCAATTTCATGGTCCAAGCATCTGATTTAATGTATTTCCTTTTTTTGGCCAATTCATTATTGCAGAATAGACAATTCACTCGTGATGACTTCCTACCTAGAAGCAGTTTGGACTACTGCTTAGTAGTGCCTTCAAAACATTTCAAGAGCTTTGCTACATCAACTACAATAAGTTTTAATTGGAACCTAGTCAGAACATGACAACTGGATACTTTAATTCCAACAGCCCTGGGGAAGGTATTACTCTCCAATTCGAGGACTGGTACCTTTTTTATGGAGGGATCATTTATCAGTTTATTTGTTGATGGTGGAGATTTGCTTTTCTACTTTTCAATATAAGCCTCTTCTTCGGATTTTTCCCTTCAGTTGATCTTGCTCTATCAGTGATTTCCCAATAGATCTGTGTTGTATCAGATAGACTGATGTGCTTCTGCTGTGCAATTTAAGTGTTGGACACAAGCAAACTGCTCACTGGTAGCTAACGGTTAGTAACTCTCATCTAATGTCTTCTCCTCCTGCTCCCGCTCAGTCATATGTGGTGTTCCTCAGGGCTCGATCATTCCCATCTCTCAACAGATCAAATTCAAGATTCTCTCACCTTTAAATCCCTCCACTGCCTCGTCTCACTTTACCTCTGTGACTTTCTACACCTACAACCCAACCAATGCGGCTGTTCCCTTATTCAGCGAATAATGGCCTGCTTCATGTTCCCTGTCCTATCTACCCCTCCTTCGGCAGGTGAGCTTTCAGCTATTATGTGCCCCTCTCTGGAACTAATTCTGGAATCCTTTGAATCCTTCCCTCCCTCTTTCCCTACCTCCCTCTTTCTCTACCTCCCTCTTTCCCGCCCCATCTTCAAGTGGCCTCAAGGTGTATATCTCTTTGATCATGCTTTCAATCGTCTTTTCCCCTCCCCGCCCTCTTCAGCTCCCGTCTCCCAACCAGTTGGGTTTCCAGCCAGCAGTGCGAAGCGCTTTGACACATCTTCCCAACAAGAAAGGCACTATATAAATGTAAATTTGTAGTTTTTAGTACAACATAGTCAACACTCCTTGCTGACACTGGTTATTAATGCTTCTTTGTGCAATTTGGGGCAGGGTTGGGGTGTGTTGTCATATCACCCCAAAGCAGTACACATTACACTCAGCGTCATCAAGCTCAAATTCAAGAGAATACAATTATCTCTGCGAAAAATATTAGGTTCTTGTTTATAGGCAGGCTAATACTTCTTTGGACCAATAAGACTATTTTTGGTTTTTTCTTAGGGTGCAGTACTCATTGCTAGGTGCTTGATCCATGGTGTGCCACCAAAGCTATTCCATAAAGCAGGGGTGAATATCAAAAATGCAGAGACTTCATTCGATTTTGATAACTTGTTGATGGATCTTTTAAAGCATCAATCAATCTGAACTCCTGTTTCTGTTTGTGCCATGATTGCCAAGGTGTTTGAGTGATGACAAATGTGGTATCTCTTGGGTATCCTTGCGTGCAAAGAGAGCAAAAGCAGTTGATTTGCTGAGCAAAAAAAAGTGATTTTTTTTAATGTATTTACATAGATGAATGCAACAGTGAAGCTTTCGTCGGAGGAAAATTACAATTTGAACCTGAAGCTGCTGCATCCCATAGCATTCCAGCATTGTATCACCAGAGTGCTGGGAACAAAGGTATGATCCCATAGAAATTGAATTAATGGAAAAATGATATAGAGCTTTTTGTAGAATTCTACTGATTACTTTTGTCAATGTTGTCCTTTAATCTATATCCTTCCATTTGAATCTTCCGTTTTGATGTTGTGGTATAATTAGAGTCTATCATAATTGAGTACCAGTATTACTAATGCAAATGTGTATATTTAACCAATTTCCTCCCCAGGTAGTTTTAAGCACAGGCAGAACAGTCTGTCTCCCTAAGATCTAGGTTTATAGTTTATTTGTATAATGATGTTAATTATAGAAAATGTGGCAAATTTAATTTGCCCGTTTGTATTATGAAGGGGGTCAATCAATGTTGGGAGGTTCCAGCGTATTAGAAAACAAATGTGATTCCCATATTCAAGATTAATAACCACAATCCCTTTCATAAAGTACCATAGAAGAGACTCATTTACAAACTAATAACGGTGTTCATCAAGTATAAGATGAGTATTAGTAGTAAACCGAAGGGAAGGAACCCGAGTTTGGTTGTAGAAGACGCAATTATCGACTAAGGTACATTAGGCTCCATGCTTTTCCTGGTGTACAAGGATAACCTGGATTTAGTACATATATGACTTGAATTTGCAGATTCAGTGTAAGGTAGATGCAACAACAACAACAACCTGCACTTATATAGTGCCCTCCACGCGGGATAGCATCTCAGAGCTCTTACATTTGCAGATGAACTGTGGAATTAGTAGAGGTAGCCAAGATCTTCCAGAGGGAATTGAAAGGGGTGCCTAACTCCAAGTGATTGTTAGAAATTGAAGTTCAATCCAACAAGGTACTGCATATAGGAAAAACGTGCTTCATGGATAAGATAGAAATGAACAAGACAGAAGTAAATGACCACTGCTTTTTATTCACGTGACCAAACATTGCAATCAACATTATACAAAGTTACGAGGACGTTATAATAATCCTCACATTTGATGTAGCACTTCTAATGTTGATTATTGGATACTCATCACTCAGAGGATACAGTTGAAGTTCCTGGTCCTCACCTTCAAAGCCCTCCACGGCTTTGTTCCTCCCTACTTCCTCCCTACTCCCAGCTCCATCTCCTTGCCCCACCATCAACCTGTCCCTCTCCTCTGGCTCTGTTCCCATTCCCCTCAAAACTGCCACCATCACTCCCGTATTGAAAAAACCCTCCCTCGATACGTCGCAGCTATCAAGCTACCGGCCCATCTCCAACCTCCCCTTCCTGTCCAAGGTTCTCGAAAGAGTCGTCGCCTCCCAGCTGCGCTCTTTCTTCTCCACCCACTCACTTTTCGAACCCCTCCAATCGGGATTCCGTGCTGCCCATAGCACAGAAACTGCCCTGGTCAAGGTCACTAACGACATCTTGACCATCTGCGACCAGGGCTCCCTCTGCCTCCGATCTCCTCGACCTATCGGCCGCATTCGATACGGTCGACTACTCTGTCCTCCTCCACTGCATGTCCTCCCACCTCAACCTTCAAGGCTCTGTCCTTGAGTGGTTTAGGTCCTACCTCTCCCACTGTCTTCATTTTGTCTCTGCAAACAGTTTTTCCTCCAGCCCCCGCACTGTCTCGTGCGGTGTCCTTCAGGGCTCTGTCCTCGGTCCCCTCCTCTTCACCCTCTTGGTGACATCATCTGCAGACATGGGGTTAACTTCCACATGTATGCGGATGACACCCAACTCTACCTTTCCTCCTCTACCCTCAACTCCACGACCACCGATGTCCTGACAGTCTGCCTGTCCGACATCGAGTCCTGGACGAGAGACAACTTTCTTTAGCTCAACGTACGCAAAACTGAAGCCCTCCTGATTGGCTCACGTCAGCGCCTCCGCACCTCAGGCGCTGACAGCATCAGCATCCAAGGCTGCACTCTCCACCTCTCAAACCCAGTCAGGAACCTCGGGGTTCTGTTCGACCCTGAGCTGTCCTTTCTCCCTCATATCCGCGCCACAACTGGCACCGCCTTCCACCACCTCCGGAACATCGCCAGACTACGGCACTACCTCACCCCTCACGCTGCTGAAACATTGGTCCACGCCTTTATCACCTCAAGGCTGGACTATGGGAACTCTGCTCACCGGCCTTCCCGGCACCTCCCTCCACAAGCTGCAGGTCATTCAGAACTCTGCAGCTCGTGTACTGTCCCGCACCAGGCTTCGCGACCACATCACTCCCACCCTCGCTCGCCTCCACTGGCTCCCCATCGCCCAGAGGATCGAATTCAAGATCTTCATCTTCACCTACAAGGCCATTCACGGCCTTGCACCCCCTACCTCTCCGACCTACTATCCCCCCACGTACCTGCCCGTACCCTCCGTTCCTCTGGCTCCGGTCTGCTCCACACCCCCCGCCCCAACCGCCCTACCATCGGCGGCCGGGCTTTCAGCCTCTCAGTCCCTCGGCTCTAGAACTCTATCCCCCAGTGCCTTCGCCTTGCTTCCTCCCTTTCCTCCTTCAAGGCCGGTCTCAAGACCTTTCTCTTCAACCGTGGCTTCAGCTCCCCTCCCTTGACTCTCTATCCCCTGCTCGCTCCCTCCCCTCACCCTGACCATTTCCCCCCTGCTCGGATCCCGACCCAACTGTCCAGCGCTTTGGGAAGTCCTCCTGACGTGAAAGGCGCTCTATAAATGCAATCTTCTTATTGTTGTTATGACTTTCTAACCCCCTACCAAACTCTCTGCTCAGCGGACTCTGGCCTGCTTCGCGTCCCCCTCCTTGCCTACTCCATCATTGGCAGTTGGGCCTTCAGCCTCTCTGCCCCACCCTCTGGAACTCCATCCCATAGTCCCTCCACCTCGCCCCCTTCCTTGCCTCCTTCAAGACTGTCTCAAGACCTTCCTCTTTGATCATGCTTTCGTCACCCTCCTACCTCTACCGTCCCTTCCCCCCGTGCTGATCCCAACCACCAGCTCAGGTGCGGCTCTATAATTGTCAAGCAGCTTGAGATGTCTTCCTGACATGAAGGACGCTATTAAAAAAATGCAATTTGTAGTCTTAAAGTGCTTTATAATGTGTCTAAAGTGAGCTGACTTTTTTCTTAGGCAAACACAGAGGCAAAGAGCTTTGTAGTGAACGACCAATTTTATCTGGAGGATTGTTAGCTGGAGACATTCAGAGAAACTCCCTTCTGTTTTTCAATAAGACCATAGGATATTTAATGTTCACCTGAACAGGCAGAGAGGACCTCAGTTTAAGATCTCATTTGAAGGATGGCACCTCCAACAGCTATTGCAGTGGTGGTCTAAATTGTAAGATCAAAATTCCGTCATGGAGCTTGAATCCATGACCTGAACTAGAGGAAGAGCGTGCTACCAAATAACCCACGCTGGTATGTTGAGCTACACAGCTAAAATAGTTGATCTTAAATCTCCAGAAAGTATGGTGAAACCATACAGTGACTTGTCGAGCTGGTTCTAGAATTTTGCATACAGTTCTGGTCTCCATGTCACAAGGGACCACCCGAGCACCAGAGGCAGTGCAGATAAGTGGTATGAGTCTGATTCCAGTGTTATAATAGTGCACTACAAGGAATGATTAGTTAAGCTTGCACTTTTCAGGTTCAGCAGGAAAAATCTTGGAGGGGACATAATGAAAGTACATAAGAATAGAGAAAGTAAACCTTACCCAGTTGCTACATTTGCTCGCTTAAACAAAAGTATCAGCTGGATAAGATGCTACTGGTTGAAAGTTCCAGATACAAGTTAGTATTTATTTACACAGAGGTTAATGGACAGTTGAAATGGGTTACCAGAATGGTTATTGAGGCCAATTTAATAAACTGTTTAATCGTCTTGTGGAAAGATAGGGATTGTATTCTAGAATAATGAGATCAAACGGGCCTCCTTCATTTAAGTCTTGTGAATCTTATTACTGCACTAGGATTTTCTCGAGCACCATTACAATAAATGCTTATAAATCATGGTGACTCAGTCCTTTAAATGTAACAACTTGCATAAAATTACAATCTAAAATCAATCGCTTTTCAAGGGATATGTTTATATAGACACTTTGTTGTCGTGTGCATTAAATACTATACTTTCCTTTATCTAGTTATTATGCTTGTGATATTTTAGCATTTGAATCTTTTTAGGATAGAAAGATGTATTCTGAGCTGTGAATGTCAGAGATATTCAGGTTAAAGAATGGGTGAGTTGAGAAATCCATAATTAAATCTGCTGCTTGGTGATAATTAGTGTAAATGGTCCCATTAGCTGAGTTTGAATACTGCAGTAATTACTGAATTCTGCTAACAGACTGAGTGGCGTAAGATTTATTATAATTTTATTGGAGTGCTTAAGTTCAAAGAAGGAATCTAGTTTTGTTTTTTAACGATTGAACTATAAATCAACTGTGATTTATGAATACCATTTATAATAATCCTTGCATTTGATATAGTGCTTTTCATGTCAGGAAGATGTCTCAAAGCACTTCACAGGATTTACTGTAATGTATAGTGACTGTATTTTGTAAGCGAATTTGCACATAAAGTGGTAGACCAATTTTATCTAGAGATTTGTTGACCTGTAAACTGAGAAACACTTCTCTTTTTGAATTGTACCATGGGATTTTTAATATACACCTGAACAAGCAGGCAAAATCAAATATTCCTGTTTAATTTAAACAAATTATAGCATTTTTAAATATTATAATATAAACCCAATTGCTGCTTTACCTCTCATGGGTGCATGTGGAATTATAGTGTCCCTTCCCCCTTTGGCAACAGAATTAAAAGCAATATTAAGTACTGGTGTAAAAAGGGTGATGGTTTTAGTCTAAAGTATTTAATAAGTCGCTCAGATAACTAATGCTGTGCTTTTTTTCAAAACAATATGCTCCGTGCATCTTTAGATCTGTATAAAATTTATTAAATTTCTGAGCTTAGCACTGGGAGAAATTGTCTTAATTGCAAATTAAAATAATTTAATAATATGAATCTTTCTTTACCAATATGAAAATTCACTGTTCTTTGAGGAATATCTGTAT